CCCCCCCCCCCCCATTGTTAATGAAATTTAGAATTGCATTGGCTTTTTTGACTGCCGCCATAGACTATTGGCTCACATTTAATTGGTTGTTCACTAAGACTCCAAGATCCCTCTCACAGTTACTGCTATTAAGCCTGGTTTCACCCAGTCTATATGTGTATTTTTGATTTTTCTTGCCTAAGTGTAAGACTTTCCTTTTCTCTACATTGAATTTCATTTTGTTAGATAGGACTCGGTGTTCAAGTCTGTCAAGATCCATCTGGATCTTGACCTATCATCTAAGGTATTGGGTATTCCTGCCCGTTTAGTATCATAATCATAATAATTGTAGTATTCCTTTCCTAGAAAATGCTTTCCGGCAGCATTCATGCTAGGCACTTTGGCACTAAAATGTTATTTTAAAACATTTTAGTTCTTTGAAAACATCAATATATACTCTTGTAAAACACTATGTGCATACTTGGTCACTGCTTTAATTTTGCTAAGAACTATTTATAAAAAAAAAAAAACAATTTATGTCCCACATTATTTTATGATATTAAGAATTTTACATTGTAAGAATGTAAGAAGAACTCTGTTGATCCCGGATCAGATCACAAACAATGTAGTCTACATTCTGTTTCAATAATGGTTGCATTTCTCTCTGCATATAAATATGACAGCATACGGCTTGATTCCTCTTCTGCAACTATTGATCTACCCAAATATTACTCTGATTTTGTCATATTAATCAGTTGTACTACTACAGTACAACAGTTGTACCCTCTAGGGTAAAAATAGTCCAGAAAATAATTTTCTTAGGTAGTTTTCCATAAACATAATAAATAAATAAAACAAAAATGATCACCTAAAAAGGTAGTTCTAGCTTAGGAAAGGGACCTGAGCCTCATTCTAATCAGAAGCACTATTTGGGGGAAACACATTTTATGATGCATAAGAAATGAGGATAAACTAATTGCATACAGTGCTTATAATCTAGGGTGAATTTTGATGCAAGAATCCTCAAATTAGCTTCCCACCCTTTCCAATCCACAGCAAGGAAAAATGCTTGCAAATACCCATTAGAGATTAAACTAGTAAAAGATACTGAAACTATGAAAAAGATTTTTTTTGTTTGAAAGACTGGAAAAATCAGACTGATCAGCTGGTCCTTGATCCCTCTCAACACAGAGTGTGGGAAAGAAGGAAACTTCTCAGGTTCAAAGCCCCTGCAGAGCCTTTCCCTTTAAAACTGTAAGAAGAGGTATTCTTTGCTAATCTCAGGGAGAACAGTTTTCAACTGGAGTTGCAGCTGATAAGCTAGTGATTAGATACAGCGAAAGAATGGATTTACACACAGCACTTCAGGAGCTCTTTGGAGAAAAGATTTCTATGTGTTTGGTAATGCTAGTGCATCATCTCAGCACATGAACTCTTTGTACTGAACTGGTTTTCTTCTGGATAGAGAAGGACTGTGAGCAGACTGGCAGCTCTCTGCCTGTAGTGGTGGATGAAGGTGGTGCTTAGGATCAGTTTGGGGTGGAGTTTTTTTTCCCCCTGCAAGTTGTTTTTATCATGCTGCTTACAGACTTTACTGTGCAATGCAACATGCCTCTCTTGAGATTCCAGCCTGTTTGACAGCACATGCTCCCAGCTGCTTGGAAATCTGACGTTTGGAATTGCCCTGTTTCTCTTAAAGATTGGATAGAGTGGCGTTGGTGGTCTCCTTGTCCTTTTACAGCTGTCTACCTTCTTGTGCTGACAGTGCCTTTGTACAAGAAGATCAAGAAGCAGGAGACAGCTTTGCTGACTACTGAGGAGTCCTTATATCATTTAGGGTCGCTCAGCAAAAGAAGGCTTACTGTTTTCATTTTTCCCGGAACTTCCATTGGATTGAAATACAGAATGAATGGGACCTTATTTAACCAAACATTGTTGGAAGAAGATATGTTTTCCAATCGATCC